AATAAATTATATAAATATATATATATATATATATTCATTATGATAATAATATAATATATAGAATCTATTCTCTTTTTCTGTAGAAACATTGGTTAAATAGCAAACCCCCCAGACAGTTGAGGTCAAACCCCGCTATGAATACTTCCAAGCATGTTGAGAATCTACTTTACTGCTCCATGTGCCGTAATCGCATGAAGCAGCCAAAGTCGTTGCCCTGTCTTCACTCCTTCTGCCGCGAATGCCTCCAACAGCATGTCAAGAAGAGCGATGGGCGACTGATTTGCCCACAGTGCCGGAAAGACTGCCCTCTATCGACTGATGGCGTTGATGGACTTCTCGTAAGTACTTTTAATGGCTTGCATTCATACTTTCACTTGATCAACATTTTAATTACAATCTTGAGATTTTCACATCGTGTTTGATGCAATAGTGGTGTAATGGACAATTCGAAGAATTATAATAGAATTGCTAACAAGAAGTGTTGTAATAATGATTCAGCTAAAAAGGTATACATACTGAATATATAGGCCTACCAATTATGATATCTTACATTGAAATATTGATCCATTTTGAAAAATATGCAGGTACCTAATCAGAAATACATTTACCGTGTTCAAAAAAGGAATAGCAATTCCAATTGATATTTAGCATAATACCATTTTTTCTGTGAAATGTATAATTAATTTGGTATTACACAGTTTTTTTAGAAATTAGTTACACAAGGTATAATTAGTTCATTTTTAACTAAACTAATAATATAATCTTGAATTCAAAGAGTAATGCCCTACATTTTTTTTTGTATTCAGGATAGCCACTTCATTCACAACCTTTCCGAATTCGTTGAGCAAGGAGGAACTGCCAAAGATGCTGTTCCAAACTGTGATGGATGTGATAGAGATGCCAATGACCGATGTCTTGACTGTCCCTGTCCTCTTTGTCCTGAGTGCTCCAAGATGCACAAGAGAATGCGTGGTACAAAAACTCATCGTATCATCTCCCTGAAGGAATACAACAGTCTCTCCGACCGTGAGAAGATCATGATGCAGCCGACAAGTTGCCCGTACCATCCAAGGTGCGAGCTGGAATTCTTCTGCACCGTCTGTGAAGTGCCAATTTGTATGAAATGTGCCGTATGCGGCCACGAAGACCACAAACGTATGAACCTGGTAGATGTGTACGAGAAGCAGGCCATGGAGATTGACAGCCTCCGTAACAAGTTAGCTGAAAGGCTCAAGTCTTTTGAAGAGGTAGCTGGGCGTACTCGTGCCGTAGCTGAAACCTTAGAAAAGGAGGAGAAGGGCGTGGAATCTCAAATCGTTGACCACGCAGAACGAATGCATGAGGCAATTGACAAACGCAAGGAGGAACTTATCAGAGAGTTGAAGATGAAGTCAAAATCGAAGAAGGATATTTTACGCCGCCAAGTAAACAATTACGGTGAGGTGATGCACAGTCTCCATGATACATATGAAAAGACGGGTCACTTGCTGGTGTATGGAAATCGCAGTGATGTTGTGTTTGCAAAGAAAAGTGCTCTGCAACGTATTATTGAGCAACTGGATGTTCCACTGAAGAGTCAACCTGAGGAAAACAGCTTCATTGGCTTTAAATCTGTCACCAATGAAAATGTAAAGCTGAAGCTTGGAAATGTTCTTACAACACCAGCTGTTGCCTTCCAGTCTCGTTTGGAGAGAGCAAGTGGTTCATATCCTCTTATCGGAACCGAGCAGTTGTTCGTGGTCCGCTCTGTAGGTCATGATGGAATGGATGTCAAACAAGGCGGTGCGCCAGTTGTGGCTGAACTCTCCCGACCTGGTACCAAGGGAGTTGCTCTGGTTGATTCAGTCGACAATGGTGATGGCAACTATGTTATATCGTTCCATCCCGATACACCAGGCCGATACCGGCTGGATGCTAAATTGTTTGATGAATCAACACGGGACTCGCCGATGGAATTTGAAGTGAAGAGCCGATGGGATGTAGCCATGACTTATGCACAAGACATGAAACAACCTCATGATGTTACAAAAGCTTGGGATGATACCTACGCCATCGCCGACTACGGTAACAACCGAATCCTCATCCGTGATATTGCTGGCAAGTTCTATGATCAGATTACGTTTGCCGGTCTTGATAAACCATTCTGCCCTATCAGTTTGGCTACAACACCAAATAACGAGATTGTCTGTTCTGACTACAATAACCATCAGATCTTCGTCACCAGGATGGATCGTAGTTTGCGACTGCGATTTGGCAGCAATGACTTATCTCGTCCTCTTGGTGTAGCTGCTTTTGAATCCGGTAAGTTTGCAGTCGGAGATGGCCAAACCATTAAATTGTTTGGCAATGGAGGTGAGCTGTTGAAGACGGTTGGCCGCCGTGGTCAAGGTGATGCAGAGTTCAGTAATCCTTGGTTTATTGCTACATCGTCTAAGAACTTCATGGCCGTCGCTGATGAAGGAAATGGAAGAATCCAATTGTTGGATGCGGAAGGACGATTTATCAGAGCATTTAAGGTTAGGTTCTTAAGAAAACTAAAGAAATTAAATATAATGTGATGATAATAATGAAATATTCTTCGTAACATAATAAAATAAGTCATAATTGTATTAAAAAAATATTAATGTTTCCTATAATTCTTACATTTTACTTTATGTTTTAGAATAAACAGTATATAATTTGTATAATTTCAGGTCATGCCTAGTGGTGGACAGGCCCTGAACCCACGTGGTGTCTTTATGGATGAAAGCGACAACATCTTCGTTAGTGCCACGACATCGGTTCTTATGTACAGCAACGATGGCAAGCTGATCTGCCGTGTGAATGGTGAGGACAGCAAGATGAAGTCACCATGTGGTATCACGATGTTGAAGGCTGCCATGGGAAACTCTCCAGTTCTCCTGGTGGCTGATCGATCTGACCAGTGTATCAAAGGATTCAGAGTCTAAATCTGGATGTCGTGGTGAGTATAGCCTTGTGTAGTGTAGTTTATATAGTGCTTTATATAGAAACTGTCTCAAAGTGCTTAAGATGTAGACTGGTTAGTACAGTAATTTGCTTCTTCCCTAAGGGTCTCTTTCTGTCTATCACTCTCCTCCGACCTTCAGTAACTTACTCTTTAAACTCTCAAGTTTTATGTAATAAATATTCTTTTGGATATTGTCAGTGGATGTCTAGGAAGGGGCATGGAGCACATGCCCACACTCCAAAAAAATGTTTTGCCTTCATCTCCCCCTAAAAAACTTAAAATTACCACATTTCATCTCATCCCCTGTCAACACTCCCCATTTTCCCATCATACCCCATCCCCACCCCCCATGTCAATAAATTTTTATGTACAGTACAACTATTGTATACTATACTTAACCGAAATTTACATATCTCTTATTTTTATCAGATCTGCCGAGTGATTTTGAAGATGGTTTGGCACCATTAAGAAACATAGTAATAAGGGATTGAGTGCCAACAAATAGAGTTCAGGAAGTATCAAACAGCTTACCTGATCCCATTGACAATGATAGGAAGTTCTACGTACAAAGCATGGCAATAGTAGCCGATACAATATACAAACCTTGTTGTATTAAGAGAGTGAGCAGGAAAAAGTTGCTTTTGGTCATGTTACTTTTGGTCATGTTACTAAATGCAAGATAGATTGTATTAATCATTTCCTTCTTCCAACTCGTAGAAAAATAGGAGTATGTCTGATGGTGGAAGAAATGTCATTCCACAAAAGTTACAGAACCAAAACTATTTTTACTGTAAATTTTTTAAATAAAAAATAAATTGTAATGAATTTCCAATCACCATCAAATTAAAGTACTATTAGGCTGAACACTGCTTCAAAAAGCTATTTTACATCTGTAAGCTAAGTAAATCTATTTAACCTATTTATAAGATATATACACTTTAATTTGCTCATAATGCTATTTCCTCTCTAGTACAAGTTTATATTTATTTTTTAGCTATAGATTGTAGTGTCTACTAGTTGGCTAAAGTGTTACTGAATTTATATTTAAAAAAAGCTTCTAAAAGTTGGGCTTCACTCTACATAATTTTTGTGTATAAATTATTGGAGCACCATTCCTTATTTTATATCTATGTATTTAAGTTTTCTATGTACTGTATCATACTCTGAACATGTTCTTGCAAGGGGACCATTAATTGATGTGAGGGGAATTTAATGAACCCTAGACATGGCAAAGTTCATTGTCATCATAGTTTTAATTTTATGGGTTAATTAATAAATGTAAATTGATTTTGATTATTAAAGACTTAAATTAAATCAATGAAATGTGTAAATATGACGATTAAATAAACGTATATTTTGGTATGTAAGACGATACGAATGCTTCATTCCAAAAATGAAAACCTCATATTTTGATATAACTTTTATTGTATGCACCTTTAGAGAAAAAAAAAACGAAAACCAAGAAGGCATTCACGTCCATCAGTCAACACCTTGAGAAATTTTAGTTATTGTATAAATACGGTGCTGACTTTCTCATTAAATACAGTAATTAGTATATAGTTATTATATAGCATCAACTTATATTATTGATCGTATTAATGGAAAGGGTTTTATATATTGTCTGCAGTTTTACTTGGTGGAGGGACATGATCTTTATTAACTCAACACTTGTTCCTCTATGCCAAATATATTTCAAACCGGAAGTATTCCATTAAGCAGTGAATGAGGACGATTATTGTCATCATGGAAGAAAGATTCATATTGCTATGGAGTTATTTTAACGCACAAACTTTGTACGTGTGGGAAAATTGTACAGTACTGTTTTCCGTATGAATATCTGGATTTAAATGCTGTAGTTTTAGAGATTATGATTTTATACATGATAGAAAAATTTAACTCGCAAAAAAACCAACATTGATACTGATAGATTACTGAGCTATTTTTGTATCGCCAGCTTCCCGGATTGTCAATCAAAATAGCGCCGTGAATACGCGCGCGTGTGTCGTTTTATGGGACCTTAGCAACAATATCCAAAGGGTGGGTGGGGCTGGCTTAGGGGAAAGGTCAATTTCATGTTGGTTCTACTTGAAAATGAGTCTTAGCAATTTTTTTCATGTATTTTCTTAGTGTTGAAAAAAAAGTCAATGTCGGAAATGTTTCATTCCGTGTACTCTTTTATATACAATCATGATGTAGTTTACTTTCTCATCTTGAATGAGAATACTGTACATGTAAAGTTTTTCCCGTTTAAAACGTTGAATAAATGTTAAATTTGAAGGAAAGTATACTACTCATTTGGTCATTTTCTTTTGCCTTCATTGGTGAATACTGCTCATGTTGATTTGATTACTTCTCGCAATGTCACAATTTGGACGAAAGCAATTTCTTGTTAATACGCCTTTATTTAGAAACTCATGGAAGCCACATTCGTCCCTCCTATGGAGGGGTAAACAGAAAAAATGGGATGATGCAGGTCGACAGACGGCTTCCCCTTTTGGAAAGTCAAAAAAATAAATAAAATAAAACAAAATTATTGATCACCCAAAATGCCTCAGAGGTTACTTTAGGGCGTCAAGAAAACAACAATTTCCTGGAGGCGCCCCCTAAAGGTGGAGTTTCTCGATCTTCCCTCCCCGGCCACCCCTTTTCGGACATCTTTGGATCCGATAACTGATTAAATAGTGTGAGAAAAGGCACCATCACTGCTCTTCAAAAAAATTATTCAGCGAATACCAGTTTTCATAAATAAAATTTACTTGATCTTGAGAATGGTTCCATGATGGACCCGAAACGTCGATCTTTCTTGTCATTAAATTTTGTTTTGAAATTATCTATTAAGCGTCTCTTAATTCGTAAAAATATAATGTTTGATTTAATAGGCCAATCACTTGAAGGTTTATTTTAAATGTCAATTTAGTTGTAAACGGATTGTAAAGTACCCATAAGCTTGGGCCCTTGCCTAAGTTTGTAGACATGCACCACAGCTCAGTTAGCAGAGTTGGCGCCAGGATATGCCCGACGTGGGGGTGGGGTGGTGGTTTTGTTGAAGCAATTATGTCTCGACGGGGTAGGAGCGATGTCCCCGACGAGAGCGCAAGCGGTAGACTTCGCCACAAGCAGCGTGACCACTCACAATTTTTGATATACCCAATGACTGGGTCGAAATTACCCAAGATTCAGCAGAAATTACCCAAGCTTCCTGAAAATGCATTAAAATTTGAAAAAAAAAACGTGTTTTTCGTATGTATAGTTTCCCTTTTAGTTCAATTTATGAACCAATTTTTATTCTAATTGTTTGTGTTAATTATTAAAATTAATATTCATGAGGTGATAATACAGCATAGAAAAATACGCCCTCAGTCGGCCAGTGTTATCAGTGATCAAGTTTTATTATGTAATGCATTAATTAGGTAAGATCAATGGCAACGCAAATCACAAATAAACAATTCTGAATCCATGTTTATAGCAATTAACAGTCAATTAACAATGTTATGTGCACTTCGTTGAGTTTTGCTTACTTGAATCATAGAGTTTTCTCTATGCTTGAATGGACTGACAAATACTTTGTTACTTCTTAATTCTTCCTCTTTGACAAAAATATTTAATTTTCTTAGTAATAAAATCCCCAAGGATTTGGACGGAATACCCAAGACCAAGTCAAAATACCCAAGATCTTGGGTAAATACCCAAGCAGTGGCCACACTGGCCACAAGTCTCTAATTTATTGACTTTCTGTAGTATTAGCATATTTCAGAAAGCGTCACCAGCGTCAGTTTATGTCGAGAAACATGCGAGAAACTATACTATGGAACGCCATGCAAATAAGTAATATGGAACGCCATTGGTGCCAAAATCGATTTTAAGCATTTTCACTGATTAAGGCAAAGTTTAGGAACTGGAACCCAGTCTACGCAAGTGGATGTGTTCAGGGGTTGCTAAGAACCCCTCGGAGGGTCCCGGAAGCTATTGCAATTTAGGGATATGAAAAGCTTATTTAATTGATTTAAACAATCCATAGAAAATATATAAAATGGCGCAACCTTGAATATTTTGTTTTTCAATTGTGATATTGCTTCAATTCGAATATAGAGTATAAACTAATACGCGACGTTAAAAAGATATAACTAATATTTTTTGAAATAAAGAAAAGCCCAAAAACATAAACCTTCTAGAGATCGAGCTCTTACTGCCAGCAGATTTAATTTTAGCTATATAACGGACGTACTCTGCTTTAATAGGCCCCTAATTGCTGCGAAGCAGCCAATTCATAATCTTGACAGCAATTTGACCACTGAAAGGTCATTGTTTGTCAAAAAATAAGGGCCTAAGACGACTGAAAAGCGGAGTTTCCTTCTTCCGTTCTGCCGGGTATAATCAATTACCTTAGGCGACGTTTGTAGACTAACCAACACGTACCAACGTCCGCATGTCGCGCTAGCCTTATCCTACTCTAGGCCTAGACTAGCTATGATGGTATAGGCCTAGCCTTGGATGGACGAAGGTCCCAATGAAAAACAACGTCGCTCCTTGATAGCTAACATTGTCTATTTAACATCACAATAATTCATTATTAGACCTGAGTTGTTTTTTGAATTGTGCTCCACAAATCTCAGCCAATACCTCGCACAACTCGAGTAACGTCTCGTATCTATTGTCGTGACGTCATGGCTCGCTGGCTCACACCTGCGATGTCTCGCACTTGTGATTAAATAACACGTTGGCTCGCACTTTGGCAACACTCTTTGGCAGTCAACTCGCCCCTAGAAAACCCGGCCTTGGAAACTTGCCCCATAAAAAAATGTACACTTCCTAGACCATGTAGTCTTCAAAATAAAAATTGTAACCTTTGGTAATCAACTACATTTTCCACATACATAGAAATTTTTGAAACTTTATTTTAAAAAAACCTAAACCATAATTCACCACTATATAGACACTTTTTGACAAAAATGAAAAATTACGACTTTGTTACCCAATGAGAAGTGTTCTAATATAGACAATGGGTCGTCGTGTCTCATATTATTTGTTATA